ACATCACCTCACTACCTTACATCGTATCACTCCGCAACGTATTCATCTACATTACAGGCAAGATGCATCATATTATGTACTTCCTCATCTAAACTATAGAACAGAATACAAATATATATGTATGTAGTTACTATGAATTACATTATGCCAATTGTCTCAATAAACCTTAAGAATAGTAATTTATCCTCATAAAATAAATCTTACAGTAACAATGGATCAAACAACTAATGTAGTGAGAATAAACACCTGTCTTTGCAGTTCCTCTTAGGTCTGTGGAGTTTTTATTAGCAGATTTCTGGTTGTTGGAGTTTTTTCACTCCATAACTTTACTGTTTTGGTTCACTCTCACTGCTCCTTTAGTGTTGTTTTTCTGCAGCAGCAAGCAGCTGTTTTTAGCAAATTGAAAAGGTTCTGATAAAACCAATTGACAACAGACAAAGTCAGTGACTAGCTGGTGAACACTGGGGAGCATTTATCAGCAGCCCATTGGTTAATTTTCTATAACGACAGGCTGGCCCAATCACATCCCCACCCCTCCTCCTCTCTCCTTTGCAGATGCTACCAACATATACAGCAACAGCAGTACGTGCCATTACGCAGCAACAGGTTGAAGGAGGAGAGGTTGGCTGGCTGTGAGGAGCAGGTGTGTGACGGGAAAGCTGAGGGAACAGAGTAAGCAGGAGGAGAGTGTAGTTAAAGATATGTCAGGGAGTAGCATGCAGGGGAACATGAGGTCTCAGGGAGGGTGCAGGGAGGTGTGTCCCATGTCATAATAATGTCCGCAAGAATGGTGAACTGGTGGGTGGTGAGTGTAGGGGGGCTGGTCTGGGTCAAAAATGCCAGGGATGATTTTTTTGTGTCAGTCCAGCCAGTGAGGTAAAAGAAGAGTAAATATTTGGCCTAAATTCAAACAGGACTTTGTAATGAATGTGTCTACAGGAAGAAGGCTACTGTTTTATAAAGAATATGTGCCTGCCCCAGGTGGCCAATACATCTATTAATTCAGCTTGAAAAGAACATTTTATTAGTTATTTTGTGATGAAATGTGGAAATTATAACTTATTTTTATCTACTTCACCTCATCGTGCAGTAGTAGTTTCCACTTAAATAAGGACATTTTCATTAATTGTCTTTAATATTTAGGTTGTCCCAGACTCTAGCAGCCTTTAGGAAGAACATTTGGAACAAATAATGATGAATGAATATTAGATGAAATAGTGTCACTAACAATATATCGTACATACACACTTCATCACACAATAATTTGTATTTCTGTATGCGTCTGGATCCCCAGCCTTGAATAATAAAAGGAGTATAAATCCAAATTCTACCTCTGTATTAAAACCTAGTCTTAAATCTAAAAACAGAGCCTTTTCAAAGTGGGCACAGCCTGAAATGTCGCTACCTCCTGAACTCCTGAACCGGTCCTCATAAATGTAGAAATACAAGTATACTCACATCCATACTGTACACATAAGCTGAGCAGTGGAAAGAGAGCACCTTTTTGTGTGGCGTTGAGATAAATAGGATTAGGGATTTGGGAGATTTAGGGGGAATAATCCGTCTGTGTATCGGAGAGAGGCAGCAGCGGTGATGATCAAAAGAGAACGTTGTGATTCAGAGCTCAGAAATCTCTGGATAGACTGAAAACTTGGAGTGACATTTCCTCCGTTTTTTCTCCAAGGATCAGCTTTCATTTTGTCACTGTGACTGCTGTAATTGCCGCATAATCACCTCATACTGTACAACACTGTCTGTGTGTGTGCGTGTTTGCACAAGTGTCTGTGTACAAGAGCCGGGGATAGACAGAGAATTATATATTCACAGTAATTAATCAGATTTACAGTTTACATCAGGGGAGAGAGAGAGAGCTAGTCTGTTTGTTGTGGGTGTTAGTATTAAGCAGGGGATTGGACTTGGTTATTTAACACGTAGTTCATTTGAACAGCTGCTCTGTTCTGCTACCTATCTATACCTCCATATCAACACCACATATGCTAAAAAACAAAAACCACAAAAACACTGCACACCCGTAACTTCTCTTTTCTGCAGACTGAAACATCCCTTTTTTTTGGTTGAGTGGGCCACCCAGCTTCTTCATTCTTCACCGTTACCTACTTAAAGCTATTCAGGAACACAAGAGGCTGGATCTAACCCTAAAAGCATTAGAGAGGAAGCAGGAAAACAGTGTAGATGGGTCATGTGTTTCACAGGATAAACAAAGATACAGTGTCACTACAGGACCTGTAGGAACGAGCGAAACCAAGTTATTTAAAAACCCAACAGATAGATTTCTGCTGGAGAAACCTGATTGCTGTGCACAGTGCAGAATGTTTTGAGACCCAGTTTTCCAGATTTTTCAGCTCTGGTGCATCCGACTTCTACTAATGGTCTTTGAGATGCTTCTACAACTCGATTCCACCGATGCCTAAATTAACTCATCAGACTTCAAACAAGGAAAGGCACCTGTCTATAAGGTCTCACAGCTGATGGTGTTTGGCAGAGTGAAAAGCAAGCCATGAGGTTGAGAGAATTGGAAGATTCTGCATGATTGAAAGTGCCTAAGAGCACCGTAGCCTCGATCATTCTCAAATGGAAAAAGTTTAGAACAACCGACAGTCTTCCTACATCCAGCCACCCAGACAAACTGAGTAATTGGGTACGAAAGGCTTTAGACAGGTACCCAAGAACCCAATGATGACTATGAATTCGATTCATAGTAATCATTGGGTTCATAGTTCATAGTCATTTTTTGTGGATATGGATGAACCTTACAGAAGGACAACCAGTGCAGCACTCCACCAATCAGGCCTTTATGGTAGAGCGGCAAGATGGAAGCCATTCCTCACTAAAAAGCACATAATATCTCACCAGGACTTTTCCAAAAGGCACCTGAACGACTCTCAGACCATAAGAAGCAAAATTCTTTGGTTTGGTGAAATGTAAATTTAATTATTTGGCCGTAATTCCCAACGGTACGTGTATGTGGGGGAACTAAACACTGAGCATCGCCTCATCAATACCACCCCTACAGTCAGACATGGTGGTGCAGCCTCATGCTGTGGGTGTGTTTTTTGCGACTGGGACTGGGAGACTAATCCGGCTAGAAGGAAAGATACAGAAAAATACAGCAAATACCTCTGTGAAAGTCCTCGAGTGGCCCGGCCAGAGTTCGGACCTGAGCACAACAGAACATCTCTGGAGAGATCTGAAAATGAATCTGCACCAACACTCCACACACGTCCAGCCTGGACGAGCTTTAACGATTCTGCCAAGAAGGATGGGAGAAAATTGTAAAAGTAACGTGTGCCAAGTTTGAGGCTGTCATTGCTGCCAAAGGTGCTTTAACCGGGTACTAAGTGAAGGGTCTGAATAATTATATAAATGGCATATTTCAGTCTTTTATTTCTAATAATAAATTGACAAAACACAAAAAAATTAAAGTCTGAAACATAATTCAATTTGTAATTTGAATGAGTCTGAAAACTTCCTGTGTGCACTGTAAACCCTCCGCTGGGTCCTTTCATGTTTCTGTAGTAACACCTAAACAGGGAAAATAATTCAATGTTGAATAAATGTGTTACACCGTCTCACTTTGATTTGCAGGCGAAAACTGTTTTAGAGTCATCACACTGCTGCAAAAGTGTTATATCCAATTTCCCAGTTAAACCACGATTAGTTTAATCGTCACTAACAATCAGTATGCAGATGCCACTGCAAGTCACCATCACTTTTCTCTGAATTTAGGAACCAGGAGATAGCTGATTTGTAGTAAGTACACAAGCTCCTATGCTGAGAAAACGTGACTTTCTGTGCTTTAGATAGATTTCTATCTTGTCCTCGTTTGACCAACTAATGAGACTGGTTTCATGTTGCAGCGTGGGAGAAAAAGTCAATTACAGACATAATTTTACCACCAGAATAAATGCACAAATATTATGCTTAATAACATACAGACTGTAGCAGACTTGCAGTCTAGCTATGTTAATTCATTTAAATAATGTTACAGTAGCAGCAGCCAACCAACACACACGCTGCTGGAGGCTTTCAAGCTTCACACACTCAAGCAGAAATCATTCACAGTCAAGTGGAGTCACACACATTAATACCTGCAAAGGCTGGATGCCATTCAGGTGAATTTCAGATTTCATTTTCAAACCAAAACATCTCTGTATAACTCATGCCACATAAATATCATGTAATTTTTACAGAGGCAAGATAGCAAAGAGCTTAATTTTAGTTACTAAAGTTGTGTTCGAGTTACAGCAAACATTTTGCTTAAATAAATAACTTGTGTAATGTTGTAGGAACATTTTGGTCTGACTCACTTCAGTTCAAATCACAAAAATCACCTCCACAATGACGAAGGCTGTTGAAGTTTTGTAAAGGCAAACAGGATTCAGGGACACGTCTGTCCATCTTTGGAAAAAAACTGGAGACAACACACACACACAGTGAGGTTCAGACTTGTGTACGCCTGAGTACTCTAAAACTCTTCTCTATTCGTAAATAAAGCATTGTGTACTGGAGAAGAGCTGTCTGAAGAAACCGAAGGAAAACCAAGTAAATATGGTTTTTAAAAATAAAAGTAAAATGTTTCCATTATATTTCACGTTGTTTCATTAATCTTTACTTCATCAGTGCGTATGAATAAATAATAGACCCCAGGTGACTTATTTGCATTTTTCTGATTTTCGGTTTTAATTGAAAACATCAATAACGTACCAAAGCATTAAACCTGACACGGTGATGTATGATGATTTTACGCTGTAATAAGTACATTTTATTTCCAAGCTTCAACCACACAAAGCTAAATGAGGGCAACCATTATCCTCTGCTGGCCACAGAGCAGTTTAGAGTTTCAGTAAAATATACCTTTGAAACTACCTTCCAAGGCTGACTCTAAAAGCTTCCATCGCAATTATCTACAATGGATCCAAAATATTTCATCAGTGAGGTGATAATTTGTTCCCAGAAAGTCAAAGACCACTCCAGTTACAAAAAAAAACACATTTATTGTCTAGATATTTCAATCATTTTAGATAAACTAGCATTAAGACCATTTAGTATTTCTCCTGATTAGACGTTTCTTTTCCATGTAAAAGACGTACAAAAACAGTTTGTTATTTCTAAAGCATGTCCTGTAAGAAAAAAAAAAAACAGATATATACATTTTTACAAACATTCAACAGACAAAAATAGATTTAAAAAAAACGAAGCACAATGTCATGAAATTAACGAGTTTAAAAATGGCTGAAACTGACTGATTCCTTCCTGAAGCTGAAATACAACTGCACCTTCGCCAACCTTCTCTGAGACTATCTTGACAAATAATTTAATCTAGCTGGTATTCTTAAATCGTTTGTGTAAGGTGAAAAAACAACATGACACAGTTGTACTTTTCAAAGGCAATTGTCCCACATTCAAGAACATTAGCAGATATAAATGACCATTATTTTGTTAAAAAAAGACAATTCTGATTTTCAGATGTTTGTTTAGTGAATATGGTAGAAAGGACTTTTCTCTTGTTTAACACAAGAATATTTTATTTGTCAAGATTATCTTTTTTATAAATATAGTTCCAAAGTCCCCGTTTACGAAGCGTGATTAACCATCTCATACAGTAAGACATCGTGTGTGAGAGAGTGTACAAAGGCAGGGCCGGGGTGAATTTACAACAGTGAAGACAGAAACCAAAGGGCTGTTTCAAATTAAGGGAAAAACTTTTCATTCAAGAGCATTAATTGGAATCATTAGGACCTCAACCAATGAACTTATTGTGAAAGAGACCACAAGCAAATGAACTGCATTAACATGATCAGCAGGGGGCACGTCTAGACTTCAACAAGACCATATGGAAAAGGCCATGTGACTGATTACCAATACTGATGTCACTTCAGTAATAGTCTGAGTAAAGGTGGGGCTCGCTCTGCCAGTATGAAGCCTTATGTTGCTTGTGGACTGTGGAGAACAGCCAAGTATGGAAATGATTGGCTGCAGGTACTGTAGAAGAGGTTGGTCAATGGAATTTGACGATTAATTCAATCTCTGAAAACTTATTCCACCTTCACCAATTGGTCTTTCAACCAGAATCATTTGAAATACTGGAGAGAGAAAAAAAAGAAGAAAACAACCAACACGTTCTGTAACAGCATTTAGAGTGTATTATCCTGCCCTGGGTGCTTATTTGGTTTGGAAAGCAAATCTTTCTAACTTTTAAATGCACTTCGCTTCACGAGGATCAAACTAACCCATCACAGAAATCAACAACAGCATGATGCTAGACAAATCAACCTTCATTATGTTCAAAACTGTCATTGTGTGTGTGTGCTAAGCGTGGAGGTGGACAGCTACCACTACAGTGCAGTTAGTGGGGATAGGACTTACTGTTAAGACAGAAAAGGTACTTTTCAGACAGTGTAGGCGTATCAGAACAGCAAGCTGAGGTTCTAAGGTCAGAGAGTCAGAGCTGAGAGATCAACAGGCTGTGGGCATTGTCTGTCTGGAACAAAATAAAAACCAACGTGTGTCGCTTTCTCCTCCTCCGTCTATGCATTATTTTATCAGTTTCCGTCCACATACATATTCAATCATCTGGTTTGAGTGTTCGTTCTGGGGTCTCTGCCCCCTGGTCGCGACACTGAATCAAAGTGGGTTTTAAAATCTGACGTTCAGTACAGTGTTCTCCCCCTGCCCCTTTTGGTTCAGTCATTGTCTGGTCCCTGTAACTGATCCCCGTGCAGTACATAGCAGAAAGCAGTCGAGACACGGACATCCAAATAGTTCCTCTCCTTCCATTAACATCCAGCTGTTCCAGTTAATTCCCAGCTGATATGGAGTCACGTATACACGCACAATAGATGTGTGCATGTAAAATGTTTGTCTCCTTTCTGTGTCTCCTCGGCAGATGTGACAGAAAAAAAAAAGAAGGTGCCATCAAAGTCACTCTTGTCTGCGATTTCTGACTCCATGCGACAATCTCTAGAAACATATCGGGTGTGGGGGAAAGAACAAAATGTCCTCCCTTTCTTTCCATATGTTTAGTAGATGACCTCGTAAACCGTGGCCTTCTTGTCTCCTGAACCGGTGACGATGTACTTGTCGTCCACAGATATGTCACAGCTTAGTACCGAGGAGGATTCTTTAGACTGAAGAGAAGGGGAAAAAAAAGTCAATAACAAATAAAGAACAACTTCTAAGGAAATCGCATCATCAATGCTTTTGTGTGTGGGATCCAGTACTTAAATGTTTTAAAACTATGCTCTTAGAAAATATAATTATGTCTGGTGCTCTCATTCCAGTCAATATTGCTGAATGGGGGTAGCCATGATAACATGTTCGATATGTTGTCACAGTGAAACATGCTGATGTAGCATATGAGGCAGGATGTGTTACCACACTATACCACAATATTTCACTGCACACTCCAACAGCAGGCATTTTTGCAACTTTCATGCGTCATCAAAACTGTAAATGCACAGTAGAGACTGCTCTTTTTGAGGACAACACCATAACCATGTTACGGTAAGTAGTCACTGATGCAGTGCTGGTGGAAATGCAGCTTGGCCCGTTAAGCTGAAGCAGCAACTTCAGAGGCAGCAGTTTTATATATTGTCTTTGTTCATATATTGTATAATGAATGTAGTGATCTGTTGTCCCAACCTGGAATATGCTGGCTCCATACGGTGTTCTCCATGCGTTCAGTAAGTTATCCTTCCCTGTGCTCACAAACCATTTACCTGGGCAGAGAAACACACACACAAACAATAAGCAATCTCAGGGGAAACAAAAAGTTAGACAACAACATTATCAAGATATATTTAAACAGTGAAAAGAGGAACCCCCTATATAGAAAAGACAAAACCAATTAAAAAGATAAAATGTAACCTGTGTTGCATATCATACCCACTTGGTTTCCTGTCTACCTCTATGGTGTACTATCTAATAAAGGAAATCAGTCATTGTTAAGGGAATAATATTAAGATAGACTACGAATGCTTCACCCTTCTCCCATCTGGCCGTAGATACAGACAGCTGCTCTACAAAAAGGCACGCTTTGGAAAGAGTTTTGTACCCTGCTGTTATATACTGTGTAGATATGTGGTATCATTGTTGTATAATGTAGGTACTATGTGGTAAGTGTGTGTTTTGTTGAAGTCATGTCTCTTTTGTACATACTATGAAACAAATTTCCTCCACTGAGGACCAATAAAGAATGAACTGAAATCTGGATCGGGAATCATAAACATGCAGTTTTGTCCCTCGGGGAAATGTTCCCAGCTGTAAGAGGTCCTGCAGAATATGCAGGTTTTTGTTGCATGACAATGAGCTGTTCCTGCTGTCTCCTTTCATCTGTGGACATCAGCATCAGATGGATTAGGAATGTCCCTCTTTCTGTCCGCAAAAGTACAGATGTCCGGATGGCACTGATAATACTTAATAATCATCTTCTAGAAGATAAGAGAGAATCTTGTAAAACATTATTTATGAAACCTTTGTTTGGTATGAAAATAACGTTACTTTATGATTATTCTCTTCTGTCCAACTGTAGAGTATAAGCCCTCCTCCTGGTGACAGGAGGAAACAGCACACCAAGCGTTTTCATCCTGTAGAAGACTTTTTGGACATTGCAAAGCGCATGTGAATTTTATTTTCTTACACCTGTTATAATGTAACTTTTGTGTCAGAATGGTTTTATTGCCAAGTAGTTCTTCAATATAAGGGAATTATATATATATATATAATATATATATATACTAATACAAAAATGAAAGCTGCCACTGATCGCCCACTTCAATATGGGCGATCACTTCAATTTATATTGTACACATTGGGTCTTAATTTGTTCAACGGCCATGGGGAACTGTTGTTGTTGTTTTACTTTTAGTTAGCTCTCCACCGGATAAAGTAAACACTCTCCACTGTTCAGTAACGTTAGCATTAGCTAACTTGCGATACATTACAATGCCTTATATGTTGCGTTAGTGAAATGAATTACAGTCAACCAACAGATATCATATCATCTGTTGCCACGTGATGTTGGTACAGCCCAATAACATGTTGCTATTCATTGTTTTGTGGACACGTTTTAAAAGTGACACAGTATGAAACGGAGGCAGGAGATATCTCATTTCTTCACAAGAGAAAATGAGAGGGTGCAGGTGACCAGCAGGAGTGAGCAGTATGAAGCTGAAGCAGCCCAGGCAACTAACACAGGCCAAAATGTCCACCAGCCTCATGGACCTCCAGTAAAAAGGCGTATTAGGGAATCTTAAAATGTAATGTGTCTCTGCACGATTTACACTTATTCAGTGAATGAAAGCCAATTTAAATACCTCCTTTAATTACAGTACTAAACTGGCCATATGCACTAAAAAGTGTATTTGTTAAATATTGAATTCATATTATATATATTATTAAAAAGAAAGGTAGTTGGTACGTCTCTGCTTAAAACTGATTACTGAAGGATCATATGTTTACTGTACAAAGCTGTTCTGCTGTTACTGTTCTAATTTCATTGTGATGATGTGCTTGAGTCTTATTAAACTACACAGAACACTGAGATTTGTATTCTATTTTAAGTATATTTTACATTTTTATTTATTTTTTTTTTTTATTAAATTTGTTGTTACATTTAAGAATTTAAGTGGTGCTTAAAACAATTTACAGAACAGCTGCTATGTTCACTGTCCAGCTAGAAGACTAACTCTTGGCTAACTCTGTACAGCAAACATGCTAGTGTTCTGGTGTGTTACCACTGTAAGATACACCAGGGATAATGTGGCCAAGAAAAGCAAGATGGAAAAGAACAGTGTGTAACTGTCT